GAAACTATTCGGTATTTCAGTTAAAGAAATCTCTGTATGAACATTAAAAATAGGGAATCCTAAAATAAAACTAAAAAGGAAAGTAAAAGAGAAAAGGCAATGATGTAACATCAAAATAATCCTTAATTCTGGAGATGAAAATGGTCCCTGAACATATTTAAATTGCTTCTCGCTCTTATAGTCTTATCTTATTCTTTTTTCATTATTTAGAGAATACTTTATTAGTTTCTGTAATCAAACCCATGTGGATATGACCTTACATATTTAGTACGATGTGTTACCCCTGTACACATGGAAAAAAAATAAAAATAAAAATAAAAATAAATTAACATTTCTAGACCAATATGGTTGTCCATTTCTGTACAATGCCAAGTCAACACAGTAAATTGGGATGACTTTTTCCAAAGATGGCAACACCGTTAAAGTTTCCCAAAATTCAATTTATATATATATGTGGCACTTTCCTCTTTTGAATAGACAAGGATGGATTTGCCAACCAAGGCTAGAAATTTAGGCACTAGAGGAGCCTCCTGACACCAAACCCATCCCTAGGCACTTCTTACATTATCTCCAGTGGCCTGTCTGTCCTTTACACAGAGCCAGATTTAGGAAGGAGGGCCCAGGGATATATCTGGAGATTTGTGTGCCTAGTAAGCATAAGTGAAAGCCATAAACAAGTATAGTAAGCAAAATTACCACCTAAATTGTATATTTCACACCAACTAAGAGAAATTTTTAAAACTGACCACACACACTGTCACCTGGAAGCCAAACCCTAACACCAGGAACCAACCCTCTCACTCCTTGATTCTTTGATATAGGAAAGAGGAAAGAGAATTAGGAAGGGGAAGTCAAAATGATTAAGATGTGCTGTGTAACTATCCCATTCCCCCAAGATGAATGTACTCATGTATCATAAACATTTTCTAATAAAAAAAGAAACCAAATAAAAATTTTAAAAATTTTTAAGAAAGAACCCAAAGGTCCCTATGAGCTCTCAGTGGCCCACTCTCACTAGCAGAGCATACTTCTCCTACCTTTAATAAATGTAAAACCTTGCTATCAAGAAAGAAAGAGGTGGGGATTTAGCCCAGTAGTGCCACCGCCTGCCTCACAAGCGCAAGGTCTCAAGTTCGATCTCCGATACCAAGAAGAATAAAAAAAAAAAAAAAAAAAAAAAAAAAAAAAAAAAAAAAGAAGAGAACCATGCTGAAGTTTGTGTAGAATTTATGGCAAAGCATAGAGACTTCTGCCTTCAGAGAAGGTGAGCAGTGCTACATAGGCATCTGCCGAGTGCAAGTTTAGTTATCTTTTTATGCACAGAGTTACTCCTGGCATTCAGGAAGCTATGGTGATCATTGCTCTGCTTATATGATGTGTACTTAGCAGCGACATTTTCCTTAAAGGGTACTTCAGAAATGCAAAATAACTTCCTTTTTCATGTGGGCGACGTCCCTTTAGGGATCTGAATCATGGGAGAAACTGGCTTACGCATGAGATCGCAGCACCCTGGAGGCCTAGGGAGGAGGACTGCTGCAAGTTCGAGGCCAGTCTGGGCTACATAGAGAGACTCCGTCAAAGAGAGAAAGGAAGAGAGAAGGGGTGGGGGAGAGAAAGAAGGAGGGGGAAGGGAAGGAAAAGAAAAGAGGAGGGGAGGGAGGGGAGGGGAGGGAAGGGAAAGAGAAAGGGGGAAGAAAAGAAACAGAAGAAAAAAAATGTTGGTGGTACCAGGATTCAAACCCGGGGCATCTATCTCATTAAGCTACATCCCCAGCGATTTTTATTATCATTTTGAGGCAGGGTCTCTTGCTAAATCACTAATTTGCCCAAAGTTCTGGGATTGCAGGTGTGTAACCCCACGCCCAGCTCCAAAGCAGTCTAATCTAAATCAGGTATTAGTCCAAGGTGGAAGGGTCCTTAAAGAATGTTTCCCTTTCTGATAGCATTGAGCCAGCAGCTGTAACAACCAGGAATGCTGTTTGCCTTGTTCTAGAAACAGAAGCCCTGTGTCTTTGGGTCTGAGACCTAATACATTATTATAAATGTATTATACACTGAAATCTTGTTATTGGATAGCCTGCTTCTAAAAGTGGCTCACCAACTAAAGGTTACCAGCTTCTGGGTTGCTGGCCTTGCCTTCTGGAGTTAGATTTCAGGTTCTTCTCATCTCAAACAAAAAAACTGGATGAAACGAGCCAAAAAGCAGTGGCAAAATTTGTTCAAGAAAGTAAAAGTGAAGCCGGGATTTAGCTCAGTGGTTCCGCTGCCTGCCAAGACCCGAGTTCCAAAAAAAAAAAAAGAGTAAAAGTCGGGGAGAAACTGGCTCCACAGAGCAAGCTTGGGCCAAGTAAAGAGAAAAAGAGGGTAAGAGCAAAGCTAAAAGTACATGCTCCATGTGAGAAACACACTGAGTTATTGTGAAAAGTTAGGATAGCACCATTCCTGATGGCTGCCTTTCTTTTATACTACCCAAGTCTCGAGAAAACCCATGAGAACTTGTATGTATGGGTCCTGAGAGGCAATGCTGGGATACCTCACCTCAGGCTGACTTAAAGCCTGGCCCATCCTATTGAAAACCTGCTCAAGAGCAAGAAATACACCTGGCTTTGGGAACAGTTCTACGCCAGATTCTTTTGTTTTGTTTTGTTTTTGGTACCAAGGATCGAACTTGGGACCTTGCATTTGCGAGGCAGGCAGCAGAACCACTGAGCTAAATCCCCCCAGCACTACACCAGATTCTTGTAATTAACAAGTCACACCTACTTCACCAACCAGTTTTTGCCACACCCTACTCTCCTACCTACCTGTCTCTATTATTCACTATAAGTGGCTATGCTATGCTAACTATAACTATGCTGTTTGGACCCCCTTGTCCCCAGGCCTTCTAATGTCTCTAAGTACCTGCCCAACACACACACTATATATATATTTATTTGTCTAGGCAGATACACTTTATTTTTTAGCAATTCCAAATCATCTTATTAATCTAAAAAGGGCATGTTTAGAAAAGACATACCAAGAAAAAAATTTTTATGGCCCTG